CGCCTTTTCCTGGTACTCCATTTGCTACTGACCCGGCCTGCCTGACGACTCTTGTATTGTATGTATTGTTATCTGTGGGTGGTTTGGTTTGTTTGCACTGTGTTTAGGTTTAGTTTTGCACTGCATTTTGTATTGTTAGTCCTAATAAATTATATTGTTTATACCATATCTGAAGGCTGCGTTTCCCTGTGTCAGTCCACACACCTCTGGTCATACCTGGAGCCCTGACAGATTTCCTCTTAAAATTGGGTTGCACTGCACATGCGAGTAAGGCAAGGTGCTGGTCTGGGAAGAAGATGTGTAGCTATGGCAAGCTGGAATGCAAAGATCTCCAGGATTCTTCATTTTAGAAAAGTCTAGTTTAATACATAAATGCTGGGAGAGGGAGGATGGACTAAAGTAGACTTCAAGAGTTTAAAAATTATGATAAACTAAAATATTTCTTACAAAATGCACTACATTTTTCATTATAACAAACAAAAAAAACAAGGTCACTGTCTCTTTCCCACACATTTTCTTTACAACATATTGTTCGCATGAAAACTACTTCACAATTGCACTTCCCTCTTTTATGACAAAACAGAACCTAGAAATCCTTTCATAACTATCATCCTTGTACTAATAGTGGCATTCATGATATTCTTTAGAGAATTGAATAGCATTACTTTCTACCTATGCTGTCTAACACTGCTTTCTAAAACAAAAAGTTGAAAACTAAACTTAAGTCTAAATGTAAAAATGCACATTCCCATGGGTGTGCTCATTCAAGCCATAAATGCAAAAACAAAGTGCAGAAAAAAACATTAGATTGTGAGAATAAATATAAAGAAATATAATATGCAGTTAATATGGTAGATTAATGTCCTCAGGCTCTCTCCTTCATAAACTGACTAGATCAAGTCCACAGATTGTATACAATACCCTTTAGATTTACCAATAAAGTACAATTTCCTCTAAGACCTCCTGCAAAGTCTAACAAATATCTGAGGATCCTGCCAGTATTTTCCATCTAATGCAGCTTCCTGGTATGGTGTGGCCACTCTCATGTAGGCTGTGACTGCTTACACTAGAGTAGGATGGCAAAAAATGTTGCAGGGTGGCATGACTATCAAAATTGCCACTGCTGATTCACAAGCCTGTGCTTTGTCAATCCTGGTCACACTTAGTTCTGCCCATCGCTTTCTGGTTTGACAGCACTGCTGCTGAAATATTTACACTGTGAACTGCAGTGTCTGAGAGGGGAAGCATATGAGATGGAAATGAAAAAAGATTTGGCTCAGAGATGGAAGGCAACGTTTTTTTGCTTATTTTATTGGGCTTGTGCACCATATAGTATGTGAATTTGGTATTTGTTTAGACCAGTGTTTTCAACCAGGGTGTCATCTGGGTTCCCCAAGGTTTTCACAAGCACAGGATCCAGTTTTCCCTGGATTAATATCATAAGTTGTGATGATAAAGGCAGGCTGGCCACCAGCACCATAACAATAAATGATGCTCCAGAGCTAGGATGCACAGTGTCATTTGTTGCTATGATAATAGTGGTCAGCTCGCCCAAACCATGGCAACGCATGACTCTGACTGCCCATAGGAGAAGTTGGAATACCGCCTCCTCCAGACCTCTTCCACCTACTGCCCTCTGCCAGGCTGTTGGAGCCAGAAGGTAGGCTTCTGGTCTGGTGTGAAGAGAGGAACAGTGTGTTTGTGGGCCTATGTGATGGGGTACTGTGTGTCTGGGGGGCTCTGTGATAAGTGGAATGTGTGATTGGGGGCTCTGTGATAGGGATACTGTGATGTGATAGAGGTACTCATGTGATGGGGCCTTTGATGTAAAGAGACAACTATGATGTGATGAAGGTACTCATGGGGAGGGGCTCTGATGTGTAGGAGGAGCACTGATGTGATGGGGGGACCTCTGATATGATGGGACATCCAATGTGAAGGGGGGCTTTTGATGTGAAGTTAATATCATCAAAGCAGTTGTGTTCATTGTCCCAGACTCAGGTTTCACATTGATAAGTAATGTTAAAGTTTTTTAAATTTTTACTGGGGTGCCTCAAGATCTTGAAAACTTTTAAAGTTTGCTGGGACTGAAAAGAGGTTGAGAAATGCTGGTTTACAATGTCATACATGAACCTTTAGTTGTACTTTACTGGTATAATAATGTTGCATCTCCTCTGGTTTCTGCATTAAGAATGCTTCTGTAACACCTTGCTATAATGCAAGTTACAGGATGTTAATTGCAGTATATTGCAATTCAGTGACAATCACACTCTATAGAACAGTCTCATGGACCTTGTATGCTGAACTCCAGGACTTTATTGGGGAGAAGTGTATCAGAGGACTACTGTCAGGGACTGCGGGTCTCGCCACGGCGCACAGGTCTGCGCAGGTGCAGATTGCCTAGGCGCACCAATGTGCAGGCACTAGTACCTGGGCGTCCACGCGGACGCGCGCCTGGCCCCAATGATGGTGCAGGGCACACTATTTAAATTGGCCAGGCGGTGATCAGGTTGCCACAAGGTCTAGTTCCTCTACCTGTGTTTCTGAAGTGCGTTCCTGTTGCCGATCCTGCTTGTCCTGAATTGTGTTGACTTTCTCCTGCTCTGACCCCCAGCTCGTCCCTGACTGTTCCTCTACTTGTCGTTTATATTACTATTGGATCTCCCATTGCTGAACCTTGGCTCGTGACTGCTCTCTGTCTACTGCTTGGTAGCTACCTGCCTCCACCGTTACCGACCCGGCTAGTCTGACCACGCTCACCCCTGACTGTCATCCATCCATCCCGCTCGGGACCTGGACTTGTCAGCCTCTTCACATCAGGCTCACCCCGGCACATACCCTCAGCGGGACCCCTCTACCACAGTTGGGTGCACTCAGGGATCGCGACCTGGTTTCAGTCTTGCACCAAGTCCATCCCCACCATCAGGGGCTCTGGTGAAAAGGCAGACTGGGACTTAGACTCTGCGTCCTGGGGAATCCCGTTGGATCACTAGAGATCCCGCCGGGCGGTGTCTGACAACTACATTTCCCAGAGGAGCTGGCATGGGGGCGAGGACACTTATATACAGAAGCCTGGGAGACTGGATAGGAAGTGAGTGGAAGAAGAGCTGGAGAGCAGGAGTAAGGAGAGAGTTGTGCTGACTGCCAGAGTACCGGACCAGGCCACAGAGCTAGAGAGGAGAGAGGCAAGGAGAAGTTGCTGACTGCCAGCCTTGCCACCCTGTTCAGCAAGGCATTCTTCTGGCCGGTGACTCGGAGCGTGGTGCCTGGACGGAATGCTGCAAGTAGGACATGAGTACCTGTGAGGGCCCCCATCTACAGAGAGTGAGAGACTGTCGCGACCTGAGTGATGCCACAGATTGAATGAGAGAGTCCCGTACACCAGCTAAACAAGTGAGCACTGACTTTCCTTCAAATCTACCACTTTTCTGCACACAGTTGCGGACATTGCATTTAGTTAACAGTCTAGTTCCCCTGGCCGCTACTGCTGAACACATTTGCAGCATAGTGAGATCATCAGACCGCAGTGCACACCTTCTGCAGGCCAAACTACATCATTATTCCCTTAACCATCAGCCTACCTTCCCAAAGGAAAATCTACCACACGCCATTAGTTACTGCAGCCCAGAGTTGCCTTTTGCCAGCAAGTGCTTCTGACACCTTTTTTGCCTAAAATTTGCAACCTGCTTAATACATTAAAGCAGTGTTTCTCAACTCCAGTCCTCATGGACACCCAACAGGTCATGTTTTCAGGATTTCCATTATTTTGCACAGGTGATTTGATCAGTTTCACTGCCTTAGTAATTACCACAGCTGTTTCATCTGAGGGAAATCCTGAAAACATGACCTGTTGGGGGTCCATGAGGACTGGAGTTGAGAAACACTGCATTAAAGGGACACCACCCAAGTCCAGTGCCACATAAAGTTATAGTACTTGCTTTTTTTTTCTTTTTTTTTTTTTTATAATCCTTTGAGGGACTGCCACTTTCATCTCTTCCCATTAAAAAGGTCTTGATTGTTGTCGGGCCCCAACGAGAGCACAGAAGATTCCTCAGTGCATGTAAAGGGATGTTGACTACCCTAATTAAAGAGCTCTTCTCTATTTCAGATTAAAGTCTTGCCATCAGGTCCTGAAGGTCCAAAGTGAGCTAGTTCAACCTTTGATAGTTTTCCTTGCTCACTGGGAACTAGAAACTACTCAGGTTTGAGGTTCTGGGTTAACTTCTGAACAGCAGGCCTGCCAGCACAGATTGAGATTTTGCTGTATGTGTTGTTTCTTTTCTTAAGAGTTGCTAGGAGTGGTAATTGCCATTATGCACACATATACCACTTTATGCTGTTTTATTGAGTTTACAGCCAAGTTTAGCCACTTCCAGACCGGACACTTTTACCCCCTTCCTGATCAGGGCAATTTTCAGCTTTCAGCGCTATCACACTTTGAATGACAATTGCGCGGTCATGCAACACTGTACCCAAATTAATTTTTTACCATTTTTTTGAGACAAATAAAGCTTTATTTTGGTGGTATTTATTGACCGCTGGGATTTTTATTTTTTTTTTGCTATGTAAATGAAAAAGTCCAAAAATTTTGAAAAAAAAAGTGTTTTTTTTTTATAAAATTTGGCAAATAAATAATATTTCATCATAAATCTTGGCCAAAATTAATTCCGTTATTTTTTTTAGTAAAAAAAAAAATCCAAATTAGTTTATAACCAAAAATTATAATTTTTAAACATTTTTATCTACATTTTTATTTTATTTTTTTATATTATTATTTTTTATTTTTATTTTTTTTTTACATACTGTCACCATGGTGACACTGTACTACTTGTGGGGGGTGATGAAGATTTTTTTTTTTTTTTTTTTAGACTGATTGCTTTTACACCCATATAGGATGTAAAAGCAATCATTTCTCTTTCTCTCTGTCTGCAATCATTGAGAAGTACTGAGTGAGCTGTGATTGGTCACAGCTTGTCACATGGTACAAGGCTGTTGTGAATAGCCTTGCACCATGTGCCCTCTGTGATCATTCACAGATTTCACACGTAGTAAGCAATGATGTCACAAGTGACATCTTGCTTACTACTTTGCATGTGATCACTGATTGGCCAATCAGTGATCACATGATCAGGACCTTGTACAGAGGTCCCGTCCATTGATCGGTGTTTCACTGTGTCTGGAGGAGTGACATCTTGCTGACAAGTGACATCTTGCTTACTACTTTGCATGTGATCACTGATTGGCCAATCAGTGATCACATGATTGGGACCTCGTACAGAGGTCCCGTCCGACGATCGGTGTTTCACTGTGTCCGGAGGACACAGCGGGCACCGGATCGCGGTGCTGAGCTCTCCCAGGGAGCGCGCACAAGCAGGGTGCGGGGAGGCTGTTTATAAACGGCCACCCGACCCTGCACTGCCACCGCCCGGCCGCTTATATACAAGGGCCAGTCGGGAAGTGGTTAATGTAAACATCATATAAATTCACTCTAATCTGTGTAAGAGTCTATTTTCTGGTGGTAATTTACTCTGGTCTGAAGAGTACTGTGGTGTCAGCAGGGGTTGGGCTTTCAGAGAGGGGTTCAGAGCAACAGGGAGCTTGAAAATAACTCAGCGACTCCTAAGGGGTAGTGTTACACTTCACAAACTATTTGTATTCAATCTTTAAAATTCATGTTTTTTATTTTAAGCAGAATGGTATTTTCCTTAACAAGATTGTAAGCACATGGGGCAGAAACTGACAATAAGAACTGAAGATACAACTTTGCATTTAATGGGAGACGAGATTTATTTTGACCAAAGTAAATTACCACCAGGAATTAGATTTATACACAGATTAGAGTGAACTAATATGATGTTTATATTAAACTGAACACTATGGGGTAGATTTACTAAAACTGGTGCACTCAGACTATGGTGCAGCTGTGCATGATAGTCAGTCACCTTCTAATTTAACCTTCTTCAATTAAGCTTTGGCAATAAAACATGGAAGTGGTTGGTTTCTATGCAGAGTTGGACCAGATTTTGCATTCTACAGTCTTTAGTTAAAACCCCCTATGTTTTTACAATAAAAAGCAGGGTGGATTTGATTTAAATCAAACTGATTTAAATCACGATTTAAATCACTAGTCAGTAAGGCTGGATGTAAATCCTAGTTTTCTACATAAAGACTAATTCTTGCTGGTATAACTTGAATATACAAGTAGATGAAGATTTTTAGAATAACAACTTTTCATATTAGTTTTTTTATCCCCAGTTTAATAGGTTAATCATTCATATTTGGACAACTTTTCTGTTGTACTTAGGAAGGAGAAAAATAATCATTACCTTAATAATAACAATTTAAATAGATTTATTCAACTGAAACAATAACATTCCAGCATATGTGATTTGCTTAAACATCCATGTTTGGTAACTAATTTGGCTAAACAAAATATATATATTTGAAGAAACTTAGACTGTCAGCCCCTCCCTCCTCACACTGTCGGCCCCTCCCTCCTCACACTTAGTTTCACTTTCTTCTTGTGCAGATCTATTCCACTCCAAACAATCAGAAAAATATTGTTTCTATTCACTGAACGTCTTGAAACTTAGCACTGAAGGGGTTGATTCTGTATTCATAGGTTTGTAGAAGTTAGGATGAAGGTCTTTTTCTTAACTCTGTTCATGTTATAACATTTTTGCTGTGAAGAAGAGGCATGTGATCTCCGCTGAGTCAAATTCAGTTTTGGGAACTGCAAAAGTAAACCAATCATCTGTGATAATATCTTGTAGGCAGAGAAACTGCCCAATAATCTTACAGAAACCTCTGGAAGAGCATGACATTGTGAATGGATTCATGGAATTTATTTACCAAAAAAATTAAACATATACAGCCTTATTCTACATAATTAAAAAACTGATCTTTATTTCATGATGGAATAACCTTTGGATGGTAATATATTTTCCTCAAAAAGCATTTTATTTTAAAAAATCCGATTTAAATAAAAAAAATCTGATTTAAATAAACAAAAATCTGATTTTTTTTATTATTTTTTTTTTAAAAATCATTGATTTTTATCCACCCTGATAAAAAGTAATTGTTTGCTATGTGAGTGCCAACAAGAGGTAAATTATTGGGTGTACTGACACAGACTATTAATCTTGGGCACACACTGGAACTAGAAGCAATGATTGTTAGTTTTAGATCATCTTGTGTGCCTGTGTTATCCACATCAGAAAATCAGGCTTTCATTCTCTAGTCAACACTTACATGTCAACAGCTAATATCTGATGAGCAATACATTTTCCATACAGGATGCCTAAATCAATGTTATGATAAATGGGGCGTATTTAATAACTGGAAGAGTAAAGTTCAGTTACCTGCAATTACCAGTCAGAAGGAATCTTCTAAGTATGTAAGGTAAAATGATTTATGATTAGCTATACATTATCATTGCTCATATATTCTGTATATATTTATATTACCTTGCTGTAATCAGACGTGTACCAGGGCTCAGACAGACACAGGAGAGACCAGCAGTGAAAGCCAATTAGAGCTTGGCTGTAATACAGGGACTGTCATGCTCAGGGGCATACTGACAACTCATGGGGCCCCTGGGCAATAGGGGATCATGGGGCCCCTGTGTCCTTGCCAAAACTCAAAAAAGCCTATGAAAAAGGTACCAGGGGCATCTCATGGGGCCCCTACTGACCCCGGGCCCTCGGGCAGTGCCCCAGCTTCCAAATGGTCAGTCCGCCCCTGGTCATGCTAACACTGGCATCATGTTAACAGTTGGGGAAAGCAGAGATATGAACTCCTTAGTGTAATGCTGCTCCTTCAATATTGCGTGTGCCGCCTAAAAGCCAAGAGGTGATCAAGGTGTTTTGCGAAGCACTTATACAGAAAAGTAAGGACCTAGTGGATACAGGGGCATCCAAATTATAGGACTGAACAGAACTGTTAGGTAAAACCATTCAAATATATGCATTTAAACTGTGCTTTTAGCTGTAGTTCATATTTAAGCTGGGGTATGTTGCCAGCACATCTACATTATGTAAGATATCATTTTACCATACTGTAAGTCTTACCTACAATCATGTGGTTGCATACGTCGCAGAATGTGGGTTTTTTAAAGACATGTTCCTGGAAAATGTGCGTCTTGTTATCTGGCGGCTGTATTACTTTGGTAGGGCTTGCTGACTGAGTTTCTGAGATTTGGGTCCTTCTGGTGCTGGTTGGGCTATCTTCTAGCTCCAAATCTACTTGAAATTTCATGTCACTATTAGTTCTTTGGCGGAAGAAATTGTCTGCACTTTTACTCCGTATGCTCTTGGTCTTGAAGGATAGGGATTTCTTAAGTTTCTGGAGCTAAAAGAAAATGAGAATAAGAGACTTTAGTTACTAAAATATTTAGCAGTTATGAACTTAGAATCATTAAACAAAATTCACTTGTCCTTATCTCTTGGATCCTTGGCTAAAAAAAACAAAAAAAAAACATACCCCTAAAAAAAAAATTAAAGATTTTTGGTGGTGAAAGCCCTCCCCTCATAAATCCCCTAGGGTATGATACTTACCTTAATACTATGTCTGGATCTTCTTCAATTCTTTATCTCCAGGGTCTTCCAGCAACAAAAATCTTCTTAGCACTAGCAATGTCTTTGCACTCATTACCCATAAAGTTGTATAGGATCATCAACTGTCACAGGCATGAGCAGGCATGGCGAATGCTTAGAAATGTTTTTTTTGCAGGGAGATGGGGGACTGAGGCTGACTTAGCATTAGGGTAAGTATGGATGTGCGGAGGTAATGACATTTAAATTGATGGAATGACATTTTGGCACTCGCGACATTTTTACCGCCAGGGAGGTGTAATATAGGTGTTCACAAGAATTTGTATGTAAACAGAAGCAACAAAGCACCAAATCATCAGTTAAAAAGTTCATATAGCCTTTATTTGTCAATGAAAATGGAGTCATTTATTGAAAATGCCGAATTTGTCTTGATAATTTGTTAACTCATATAGCCTAGTGAATGAAAAGTCCAAAATAGAATTTGTCCAAAAGTCCTTCCAGCTCTTGCATAAACTCAAAAAAGGATTTAGCAATAATAATAGCATAAATTACAAATAAAATATTGAAATACAGAATGTTATATAATGTCAAAAAATATATTTATGTTCTTGAGATAACAATTGTGTATTTAACTGTGTGTGTGGTGTGAGTCTGTGGGCTCCTTAGTCCAGTTTGTAATCTCTTCCAAGTTTTGTGAAACATTACAAAGTCTTTGTTCTGCTCTAAAGGAGCAATCCAGCCCCTACATTCTCATAAAAGTGGGCTGGTTTTCCTTTTTGTTTCTTATAGTCCCACAATGACATCTGGTGACAGATGTATTGAACAAACCTTCAGTCATGCTCCCCCTTCCCTAGGTCAGAGTCTGAAATGTAATCCTTGGGACCTCTAATCAGAACTTCACTGACATTCCATCAGTCAGGGGGGATTGGATGTGTTACAAATATATACTATATATATATATATATATCCCCAAAAAACTCTTAATTGAGTTATATCACATAAAATATCCTAATCAAGAAATATTACAGTATAAATCTTGTATGCTTAATGTGTATGAAATAAATTCTTGCAATGCTCTTATTAGCGGAACTTTAGCTCCTACCCACAGAGATGGGGGTAGGAAAGCTAGCTAGCCAATTCATGACTAATTACTACCACATGTTGCTAGAATATAAAGAAAAAAACCAAGATATATATCCACATTCATATGCATTCAGATATTCACATAGACCTTTAAAAGTCTGTTTATCTTACTTTTCCCAATCTAGAACAAATAGAAATATAACCAACTTAGTTATTCTATTAAGATCCAACACATTCATACATATGTTAGTAATGTTAATAAGCAGATATTAGATTTTAGGTTATGGAAGGCTTCTAACACACATCCAGTAGAAAAAAGGGCAGCCAACATGTTTCAGGGGCCAAGAAATCCCCTTTCTCAGAGATGGGATTTGGTTGCTAGGGTTCCTGATTTGGGTTATGTTAAATTCTTCAAAATGGGTATCTTAAACTGAAAAAGTGCAGTGTTGCTGGTAACAAGTCCAGTGCAGGGTCGGACTGACAACTCATGGGGCCCCCGGGCAATAGGGGATCATGGGGCCCCTGTGTCCTTGCCCAAACTCAAAAAGGCCTATGAAAAAGGTACCAGGGGCATCTCATGGGGCCCCCTATTGACCTCAGGCCCTCAGGCAGTGCCCGATTTTCCAAATGGTCAGTCCGTCCCTGGTCCAGTGCCTCTATTTATTTTTATTTTAGATAAGAATTCATATGACATGTTCAATTTGTATACACACAAGCTTCACAGGTTCAGCAACATGCTCTTAAGATTGCTGGAGTGCTGGGCTGTGGAGGAAAGGGAGCAGCTGGCTCAGGTTC